AAAAGAGGCACCAGGCAAGATGGGGCAAGTTAGGGTGTGAGGGCAGTGGATCTGTTTTCAGTAGAGTCAAAGGTTCAGGTGCCCGTGTGAAGGGGAAAAGCAGAAACGGTACACACTATTGTTGGAAGTTACACAGAGTTGGTAAACCTAGGCGCAGTGGTTCTCAAAACTGGAGCCTGCACCAGAATCACCTGGAAAGCTTCTTAAAACAGATCGCTGGGCTCCATCACCAAAGGTTTTGATCAGTAGGTCTGGACTGGGGTCTGAGAATTTGTATTTGAAACAAGTTCCCAGGTGATGCTGATGGTCTGGAGGATCACCCTTTGAGAACCACTGAGACTAGTGACTTAATATTAAGCAATTAGAGATGAAGGAATTACTCACACTCTATGACAAAGAATAGCTAGTACACCATGAGGTCAGGTGAGGAAATCATTGTTCAGCTATTTTATGTGGTCCAATCTCCTCAGATGGCATACTGAGGGCCAGAACCATGGTCTCCACGTTTTTAAATCCCTCTTAGTACCTATCACAGATCACAGTGCCATCCAAATAGCAGACTGTAGGGATCGCAGACGCACACAGTGAATTTCACTTGCATGACTTAATATAAGTATTTTTTCCAATTTCAGAACTATGTACTTAGAAATATTTTCGCCAGGTTTTTCCTACAGTAGAGGCTGCTACAACACAAATTATTCTTATGTAGCAATAACAAATAATGTTATTCTTCCCCATCCTTTACCATTAGTCTTCATTTTTCAACTTTAGAAGTCAACTTTATTGAATTATTATAAGTGTACAGCTTATTGTGTTTTGGCAAATATATAAGCCTGGGCAACTACCACCTAATTAATGTTTCCATCCTAGTCTTGCAGTGAATTCCACCCCACCCACAAACACATAGTTTTCTGTAACTATAGGTTGCCTCTTCTAGAGTTTCATGTCATTGGAATCATGCAGTATGCTGAAGTAATTGAGTTTCTATATACATATACAAAAATAAAAATGGATCATAGATCTAAATTGAAAACCTAAAAAAAAACCCACAATGACTTCTAGTAGAAAACGTAGAAGAAAATTGGGGGACCTTATGGTGGGAAAAGGTTTTTTCAGACATTGCACCAAAGGCATAATCCATAAAAGAATGAATTAATCAGTTGGTCTAAAATGTAAAACCACCTGCTCTTTGAAAGATGTTTGTAAAAGAATGAAAGAAAATGAAATGAAGCGATGAAAAGTGGCTAGAATATATACAGACAATAAGATAACATGCAGCCCCAGTTAACACCAGGGAAAAGAGTTGAGTGTCACACTCAAGATTGTAAGGATGACAGACGAGCTCAGTGCCATCAGCACAAATCAGAACCGCAGTGCGCTACCGCGCCACACCTGTTAGACCGTCGGAGTGGGCCCACGCCTGAGAGATGCCTGCTTTTACTTTCTCACTTTGGGCTTTTTGTGAAGATGTAAGGCATGAACATCTTGTAATTTTGAGGAAAAAGTCAAGAGTTGTACAAAGATCCTGATTACCAGAGGAAAAATTTTTTAAAATTTTTTTGTTTTTTAATTTTTTTGACAGGGAGAGTGGCTGCTCTCTTCCTTGATGTTTATATTTCAAAGACAGAGCACCCTGGTCTTTAAGGAAAACATTGCTGGATTGTAAAACTGACAAGAGGTTGATTTTGCTTTTGAAAAGATTTACATACGTATCAAAGGGATAATTACAAGTGTTCTCAAGGCACCAGGAAAATTTTAGTATTTTTTCACTAACTTTGCAAAACTGGGAGCTCTGACCATGTTTTACTGCCGACTTAACCAGCCTTTGTCACCATCTCCCTCTGGGCTGCTGTGTGAGATAACCCAGCTGCGTGTGTAGTTTAGGTGTCCTGCCTCCTGGAAGCAGAACCACCCTGACTTATTTGACCCCTGAAGTCAGAGGAGAGTGAATTCCACCTTACATCCAGGAGAAGGCCTAACCCATCACAGCACACCAGAAGTGTCTGCCGCTTTCAGTTCATCTTTGAGGACTGCACGTGTGTCTTCCATTTGAATCTGTGGCATGCCCATGCTGCTTCCATGGTTTTCTTCCCACCACTGCAGCGGGTTTAGGGTTTGACAGCAGATGTGGAGGAGGGCACAGAGAGGACAGCCTTTTGGAGAGATTAATAACTGTACGTTTTAATGCATCATCTTTTAGAATATCATTTTCACTGATTATCTTTAATTTAACTTGATTTCCAACCAGTTCCAAAAACATTATTTAAACAGTAGAAGTATAAATAAATGGAAGTTTTAAATAAATTATTTTTTAAACAATCCTTTTTTTTTAATGAGGCCCTTGTAGTCCTTATGCAGAGCTTTGTGTCGTTGTAACATCATCTGTCTACCCATAATACACCTGCCATTGCCTTTGGTCATTGAGAAAAAGAATAAACGAGTCATCAAGGCCCATTGGACAAATGAGTGTAAAGGACTAAGTAAGAATACATTCACCTGGTTATACATTCACTTCTGTTAGCCTGACCTTCTCTCTGGAGACACGTTCATGTTTCTCCTCAGATCTGGTGGCTTCTTTCTGAAAAGTTCCCTGTTCGGTCATTGTGCTGATGATTTCCGGCTCCACCAAGTCCTCTGAGTGTGTTGTCTTTACGTAAGAGGAAGAGAAAAGAGATGTATGTGAACAGCATTTAAAAATAGCTCTAGAAGGTACCCAAGACATCCAGCGAAACTGAAGTACTTAACAGCACCTTTTTACATACCTACAGGCTTCAGTCTGTCATTTGTAATGTGTTATCTCTAGCCTTGAAGTGTAGTTTTAAAAAAACCTTTACTAGAAATAAAAAACTATCTAGCAGTCTGATAACTAATTTAGATTGTAGACTTTTCTCAACTTTCACAGCAAAGATCATGCTTCTCTAATTGTTCTATTTTTAGACTCCAGGTTTAAATTTAAATCAGTAATAGTATACCATGCCCTTGACGTCCTCTTGTGAATTTATAATCCAAAGTCAAAAAGAGCTATGTAGCCATATTACTTTAATTTTAAACATTGACTTTGTAATACATTTTCAAGTGTGCGCTATCGTTTAAGCCTTGGGGCAGCCCCTGCTCTCCAGCATTGCTTGACGCTGCCAGAGGGGTCAGTCTTGCTCCAAACCCCTGTGACCAAGCAGTAGTGCTTCAGGTCCAGAGGCATGGAGAGGTAGGGGTGGAAGTTGTATTGTGTTCCTGGGGCTGCTGAAACAGCTAACCTCGAGCTTGGTGCCTCGACAGAAAGTTACTCTCTCACAGTCCCGGAGGCCAGAAGTCTGAAATCAGTTTCCTCTAAAGGTGTCCCTTGGCTCGTGGCAGCATAAATTCAGTCTTTGCCTCTGTCTTCACCTGGCTGTCTTCCCTGTGGGTGTCTGGGTCCAAACCTCCCCTCCTTTCTCTTGTAAAGACACAAGTGCTTGGGTTCAGGGCCCACCCTAAGTCCAGAATGACTTCACTTCAAGATCCTGGGGACCCTGTTTCCAAATAAGATTGCATTTGGAGGCTCTAGATGGAAATGAAGGTGGGGGCGCACTAGTCAACCCTCTACAGTAGTATTTAATTAAGATCCTTTAAAAAATAGCATTTTTTCTTATCTAAAATTTTCACATTTGTTATCTTACTAAATTTTTTTAACACCTATGTTTACATGAAATACTTCCATAGCATCTCCCATGGAAAGGGGTCATTCTTCAGGAAACTATTGTATTTTCTCTCTTTATTCTTTCACATACTCTTCTTCTGAGAAGTGATGGCCCACTAGCCCACGGTTAACCGAGAGAGAGGAAGAGACGTGGACTCGCACAGAACATAACTTTCCTGGGCATGTTTGTGCCCAGAACACCAAGGGCTGGTGCTTCTGGTCTCCGTGTAGTAAGCAGACCCACCCAAGTCTGACTTTTCAGTTCTAACATCTCTGCCTGCAGCCGGGTAAATAAATCAGTCAAGTGGGTCTCAGGTCAGGGGTCAAGGAGAGAGACCGGGAGCTCTGCCGCCCTCCCTTCCAGCGGGATCGCAGCTGATACGCAGTCTCCGCGTGCCGCAGTGCTGAGTGTTTGTACTGTGTCATCCCGATCTATGGCAGTGGTCAGAAAAGACAGTAAAGTACCTGTGTTGAAAACAAATAAATTTTAGCTAAAACACTGTAATGGAATTCTTCAGTGAAGCCTAGTAAGGCCCAGCTAGTTGTTGCCAAGGTCAAGAGTTAGAACCCAGATTTCCTGACTGTGTAGCTAGTTTTTTATGCTCACTGTCACGACCTGCGCCTCCAGAATTCAGGTCAGGATCTGCCCACCATGGCGGCTCACAACCACTGTGTGAGTTAAGTCTCTGGTCCTTGACTTCTGTGTAACCACTCTGGCTTGCATTTCCCCTGGGGGGAGAGGGCGGTCAGGAACCCTTGCCTTTCTATTATAAACAATGAAGAGAAATGAACAATTATCAAACTTCCTGTAAGTCCATGTTTCTGAAATCTTTAATACTTTGCAGCACCTGTGAAACCACTCATATGTTAGGATTGTGCAAAAGTTCTTGCTGTGTCCAAATAATGTACTTTACTTCTTTCTTCCAATGTTTATTTACACATATCAATTAATTTCTAGTTATACTACATAAGTTTCCAAAACATATGACTGGTATGCTACCTTTAAAAGAATGTCTGAAAAATTATGAAGGTGTTTGTCTTACGCCACTTTACAGCTTGTTCTGTGTGTGTCAGACCGGGATGTGGAGCGTGTCCCCACTCTCTCGTCTCGGGGAGACGAGATAGCTCGCCGGGCTCGCTTCCCCGCCGCTCTGGAGCACGCTGTTGCAGTGTTTCAGGCCGTTGGAGCGCCTGGGGCCCCTGCTGTGTGTTTTCCGTCAGAGCTGCTCCGAGCGGTGGTCCGTGTCCTCTGCCACTCTGACTGGGTCCCTGGATCTCCTTGTTGAATTCTAACCGAGCTCCTTTTTCTTCCTTTTCTTTTCAGGTATTTGTATCTGCTGTTCTCCGGGGATGACCTTTTACCTTTAGACCACTGGGTGTTCAATACGGAGGCTCACCCTCTGCCCGTTTTGCGCTTAGCCAACACCACACTTTCAGGAAACCCGGCTGTTCGATGAAAGCAGCTTCAGAAAGACCATTCTCACCTGTGTGTTGTTTACATGGACCGCTTAGAAGTTAATCCGAGAGGGGACTTCGGAAAACCTGAACCTCTTACGTCAGCCGGCAGGGTGAAACACGACTCATTCCCCACGGACTTGTCAACTTGTAGATATCTCAACTTTGAAATGATTCCATTTTGTACCTGACCAAAACACGTTCCGGTGTGCGCAGGACAGAGGTGGCCGCGTGAGAAACGGCTCCACTTTGGCCGGGACTGTGTCTGAGTCCCGGGGTCTGAGGCTGGACTCCCTGGGAATGAGCCCAGAGTGTGGGTGTCACAGCAGGAGTTACAGATGGCCTTTGTCACCAGTTTGTACGTCTCCCCCAAAGGGGAGCAGCTTTCAAATCAAACGTGTACACATTGTTTAGCCCTTTTTCTCCATTTTCAATAATGGAGTGAACTAAAATAAACAAGGACAAAAGGACGGTGTCACTGCATCAGCAGCAAGAAGACTCGGAAAAGAAACAGAAGTACCTACCCCTGTCTGAAGTTTCAAGTTCCTATTGGATGACCAGACTGGCAACCGTTTCAAATCCCAATCTATTCCATTGCAATTTCTTAGTTAAATCTAGTTTTCTCTGGGGGCATGATCTGACAAAGAATATTCGTCAAGTCTGTCTCCGTATGGAGTCATCGAAACTAGTCGTCACAGCCACGGCGTACGAGCCTGGGTTCGGGGTTCTGTGCATGGCATTCAGTCTCGTGTTGGCAGCATGACAAAAAGTGGGGAAATGCGCAGTTTTTGCCTTGAAACCTGTTCTAAGGGAAAGTGTTGGTTTTGTTGGTAGGAGATTCTTTTTCCAAACCAGCAAATCTACCAAGTAAATTTTAACCATTTTAACCTCATTGTAACCTAGTAGAATCCCTCAACTTACAACTTTATTTACATGGCTTGACAGAATCCGCTGGCAGCTCTGAGTTTGCCACGGAAAGCCCCACAGCTTGCGCATCTCACTGAGTCAAAAGCAGGACACCTAGAGTGGAACTTCCTTCAATAGCCTCATCTGAAATGGGGACATGGGTCCTTGATTATCTCATCAGATGAGTGAGCTTTTCAAAAATATTTTTATGTAAAAATAAATTTAACTTTTATTTTCTCCAAGAATATTTATAGAAATCCAAAGAGTTCATCAAAATAGCTGCAAAATAATTTTTAGTGATAAAAGTGTGGTGCAATTAATCATATTACACTGAATTTGGGGTATAATAGCTAAAGGATTTCCTCACACCATCAATAGGTTTTGCAGTGATAATTCTTTTTAAGTAAATTAATGTTTCTTTATATTTGGGGGGAAGAATTTGAATTTTATCAAGAATTATATTGTAAGATAAATATCTAATGCTTATAAATTTTCTGTCCCTTGAATTTATGTCACAGTACAAGACACTTCTTTATATTTAATACCAACAGCTTCCATTGACAATAAAAGTTGGGAACAGTATAATTAGTTCAGTATTTACCCTGAATCTGAAGATTTCATGAAACAATGTCTGCGAGAAACCCACCTCGGCATTCTGCAGGCATATTTCCTTATTTTGATTGCTTTTCTTTTTGACCTTTCATGGACATGTAGATTAAATTGGAAAAAGATTTATAAATTAACTAAATATTTTCTAAGGGTGATCATCTTACCTCACGAATAGTCAAAAACTCTTCACAGTCAGCAAATGATCAGTAACGAGGACCACCCACGACTTTTTAGTGTGTGTAAGACAACAAGGGTGTGGATCCCGTTGCGTCACTTCAGTCTTAAAGAGCTCTCAGTTTTAGCTCCTATTTTGAAATTGTAATATCTTTTACTACTTGAAAATTGAAATTTTAAATGAGAAGGGTAGGTGACTGTAACTTCAGAAGAGAAAGGGGAAAAAAAGTACTTGATTCTCAAAAATAAAGTGAAAACCTTGAGTTGGCAAGGGCCCAGACAGCTGTGTAGGCGGCAATGAACCCGCCCTTACTTCGTTTAGAAGAATTCAGAGTAAAGGGCCCTTCTGGGTTCCCCAGGAACTTCTCAAGGAATAAGACAGAACCCTCACTCCCAAGTGCTCTGTCGTATTTCTCCAGTGGCTGGAGTTTGGCAGAAGGCAGACACGGGTACAAGCCTGGCCAGTGCTGGAGCGAGCACACAACTTGAGAGGGAGGTTCAGTGGGAGGGTCTTCCTCAGCACCCCCTCCCTTCCTTGTGAGGACGAGAAGACCAGAGCCTCGAATAATGCTTCCATTTTTTCCCTTCTGAATACCAAAGGCAATTAAATTAAAGTCAGCTACAAATGACTTTCCAGGGTCATGTTTTATTTTTGTTACGGATTTTTAAAATTATTTCTTTCAAGATCAATCCTTATGCCATATTCTGCTTAGTTTCCAAGAGTGTTCTTTACTTTGTCCTGTTCTTGACAGTCCTTTGCATTTCGTAGATCTATTACTCAGGCTAAATAACTTGTTACATGCATAAAGCCTTCTGCAAAGGGCCTAGAAATGCTCCTTTCCAGGTGTCTCTTCAGAGTAGACGCCATACTTTGTGCCTTTGGCACAAATATGCAAAATAGGTCAGTTGGTACATTAAAAAAAAATAGAGATGGGTGAATACCCCTCTAACTTCTACATTTAGTTCTTTCACAATTTTAGAATCACCTTTTTGTTCAAACCAGTATGAAGTTGTTAAGACCAAGAGAATGTGGCCCTGACCAAAAAGCAGCCTTGGTGCAGAAAAATGAGTCCCCCGTCAGAGGGCGCTTCCTTTCCGGCGGGTGTGTGCTGTGGCGTGTCTCTCCGACGCCAGCTTGTCCCTGTCCTGGAGCAAATGTTTCTGTGTAACTGAGGGTGGGGGGAATGTATTCCTCTTGTGGAATATCGACCCTGCTTTTCTACGGTGTCACCTAGGGCTCCACTGGATAGGTTTCAACCGTGCCGTTGGAACTTCTGATCCTCTCATCTCCACTCTCCGTTGCCGGAGTCTCTGTCAGAACTACAGGTGTGTTGATAAGAGCTTGTGCATGCCGTTCTCATTATGCAATTTCTCCTGAAGCCTGGATTTCTCAGAATGAATGTGGGAGCGAGTGAGCAGCACACAGTGCCCGCCCTGTGCCAGGCTGTGCGCTGGGCACTGGCGGGCGTCAGGACATCTGTGATTCCACTGGCATTTTCTGTATGAGAGTAGTTCATGCCATTTTAAATGGTTCCCAGTATCAGTCATGTTTCAAAACTCTTTATAGTTCCTTGAAATTAAAGAGTAAAATAAATTATTTATAATATATTTTAAACAGTGTGTTACTGCATAATCCCAACAGCTGTAATTGTAGTTAATAACTGAACTTTCAGAAAATGTCAAAAAATACTTGATTTCTGATGCAACTTGGGCTAAAATACTTAGAAATAAATGCAAACATTCTTATTTTGCTACATTTAATTACATAATTAAAAATAATGTTTTCTAGAAATGCTGGTTATTTTATATTCAAAGTTTTTTGTCACATAATTCTTGGGTAAAACTTTCAGTTGTATACTGGTTTTGCTCTGTGTCCTAATAGTGGTTCCATGATGTTAATACAAAGAAAAATACACTAAAATATTTCTAAGTTCCAGATAGTAGTTCTCAGTAATAGTACTTTGAATAGTCATTTTTTCTTTAGGTTTTCTTACCCTTAAACTGGCTAGCTCATGTCTTATCCATTCTTCACCTAGATGTATACATAAATACAGTTTTACACAGAGAGAGGTTTTCACACCATGGGTTTTTTTCACTGACAAAGGCTGGTTAACTGGTTTTGGCTGCACAGCTTCTGAGCAGAATATTTGAGTAACCAAATATGGTCTTGAGATATTTTAATGGACTTATTCGGTTCAAGAACATTGGTGCTGATGATTCTCTGTTACTGTAGCTCATTCAGATCATGGTGGAGGTGTTCTTTTTGCTCTTTCGTGGCTCAGCAAGCTTTTCTCTGAAGGTCCAGATAAATGTCTTAAGCTTTGTGAGCTGCCCTATCTCTACGACTTGACTACTCCGTGCTGCCACTGAGACTTGAGAGCAGATGCAGGCAGTGTGCATAAATGAAGTGTTCCAGTGCAGCTTCATTTACAAAAACATGGAGGGCTGGGTTTTGTCCATGGGTCACAGCTGTTCACCTTGATCCCAAAGTTTAATTTGTGTGTAAGACTAATCTTTGATCTGCACCTTTTCTCTGTGTTTGAGTTATGCAATTCATTTAAAGCAAAACGACATGTGTATGTATGAGTGTGTGTATTTGTGTAACCTGAAGCTGTACATTTTGTTGTCTTGAAAATAGATATACTCCTGGATCTGTCCAGCTTTCAGTATGGTGTAACTATCATGAAAGAGGCATATTTTTTGTTCTTGGGGTGTACTGTCAGCCAATATCCTTGCCTTGTCATTCAGTGCCACAATGCCAGAGTCCCCACGTAAAACAAAGTGTTTCTGTGGTGTCAGAATCGTAATTCTGTTGAAGTTCCGCCTGCTTGTTGACCTTTGGACCAGGACTCTGGGTTGCTGGGGCTGCAGAATTCCTCCACTCGAGTGCTCTTAGAACCCTCTGTTAGGAATACGATGGAGTTTCCGAACCTTTGTGCTGCAGAAACCAACCTCCTGAAAAGTTTCAAGCAACAGAAAATGGGTTATGTGCCATTTGGCAGCCACTGTTACTTTCGTAGGCTGCAGAGGGCACGGCCCCTGTTACCTCCAGAACTGCCTACAGCTGAGGAGTGCAGAGAAAGACCCATCCACAAGGACAGTCTCCCCTCCTCTTCCCTCGCATAACTGGCCCGAAACCCTTCTACAAGTCTCTGGCATTGTTTCACAATGTCAATATGCATCATATTGGAATTAAAATCTCACTCCATCTCAACCTTACACTTCCACTGTTTAACAAGTAATCCATTTTAAACTTTGTTTAAGCTCAGCAGAACTCATGAAATGACTCAACCCCGTATTACTAGTATTGCAATGCACCAATCAACCTTAGAGATAATGTTTTGCTAAAAAGTTCATCAAATATTTCACGATTTTTGGAAATTCTAGAGGGGAAGCTTGTATTCCGAGTGACAGGGAGCGCACATCACGGGCTGCCTTTCTAAGTCCAGCATACTCTGCGGATCACTGCAGCTCAGTGTGAAAGTGAGCATGCGTGCAAGCACACAGACCCACATGCATTTATCATGTAGAGGATTTAAACAATCGCAGATGTCGTACAGCTATTCAAACATTACAGGATTCACTGCAGATTGCATACCAGAAACTCCATGGAGATAAGCTGAGTTCTCTTGGGGAAGGTTATTTTTTAGGAAACCTAGAACTTAGATTTTGTTGGATTAATTAAATAACTTATCCCCAGTTTTAATGACTGGCTTTGGAAGTTGAAATGCCGTTGCTCAATCAGACTGGTCTCAAATTCACCAATACAGTTTCCTTAAACCGGAAGTGGGGTAAGTGTAACCTCCTAAATTGGTACCCACTGGCCGCTCCTGAATGGTTTCCAGTCATGTCCTCCATATGTAATTTTTATAAAGCAAAGGTAATATTGTATATTAAAGGTCAAATAAAGATGTTCTTTAAGTGAAAAGTCTTTGTGTACCCTTCATCTGTTCCCGCCGACGGCAGCACAGCCCAGGCTTCCTGTTACGGAACAGGTCTGTCTGTCACAGCACCTGACGGTCTTCAGTCCCCCACACTCAGGGAGTGCTTCCTCTGGTTCAGCGAATGGGCACGTTCCTGGATGTTACAGAAAGATGAAGAGTGGGCTTAAGGGTAATTTTTATTTCGTCTGATGTAAAGAAAATGACAGTGTTACTGTCCCTGTTATCTCTGAGACCCAGTCTACTCCAGCCTCAGAGATTATCGAGCTTTAAAATACCAGGATCACTGGGTCTCATTCATGTTAAAATCTCACTGTGCTTTAAGTGATTCTTGGACAAAAAATAGGCCTAAGAGGCCTGTGAAATAGAAGCCCACCGTGGTTTAATCGATCGATGCTGCAAATGCAGAGGATACTTTAAACCCGGCGTTCTCGGGGCTCCAAGTACGGCAATGAGGGGTAAAGCCTGCCACAACAGCCAGTTCGCTCTTTGAGGCCTCATTCTTCCTGGTACAGTGCATTGCAACTTCGTCAAAATTTCAAACTAGGAAACACATTGTGGGCGTGTCAAGATTAACTGTGGATTTACCTTTCCAGAAGCAACTAAAACAGGACCAGATGAAAGAATAAGGATCTCTGAATGACGATAGTTTGATAAACCTGGGCCTCTATCTGCCAGGTACTGAAATTGTCATCATTTTCTCATTGAGTTACAAAAGACTGTCCTCAACATGGCAGATGGCATTCGGATTAAGGATATGGGTTCCCCTAGGAAATGAGAGTGGGCTGGTGATTGCCAAGGGCTGGGGGGTGGGACCAACAGGGAGAGGTCAGTCAAATATAACACGGGATGGCAGTTAACACTCTTGGGATTCTTGAAAGTTGCTGAGAGAGAGTAGGTCAGTTCTTACCACACACACACAAAAGTAACTATCTGAGGTGATGGGTGTGTTAACTAACCATTTTGTGGTGGTCTTCACACAATATGTAAATATGTCAAATCATACCTTACTTAAATTTATACCACGTGTTGCCAATTACATCTCAGCAAAACTTTTCTTAAAAGTGGGGGTTCAGGTGGTGAGAGGCTGCATGCACCTTCTTGATTAACCTAGCACAGATGTCTTTAAAAAAATTGTAATAAAATGTAACAAAATGCTATTTTAACCATTTTCAGTGTACAGTCAGTGGCATGAATAATTACATCAGCAACGTTGTGCCGCCATTTCCACTATGTCCAAAACATCACCCCAAACAGTCTCTATAACCATGAAGCAATAATTCACATTCTCTTACTCCCCCAGGAGAAATCTCCATTTTTTAACCTAAGAAAATTTTAATTTTTTGCCTCTATAAAGGATCTGGAGGAGACTTAAATACGAAAAATGCATTTACCCTGGTCTGAAATAAACTCACAATTTTAGTTACTCTTTTAAATTATTTTTGTTAGCAGCAGGTCAGAGTAATCATCCTTTTAGGAACAGAGAATTTGAGAGGGACACGCAGTCAGCAGGGAAGTCAAGAGCAAAGAAAACCATTTAGTTCTCCCTCATTTTATACATAAGGAAATTGAAACCAAAGGAGGCCAATGGAGCTTAGATGATCTTAAAGATGGTTTTCCAATTTTATCATTCTTGATTCTATGAAATAAAACTCATGCAGTTTTATTGTTAAAAAAGTTTAATGACGTGTAAATGTATTCTTAACCAAGCAGTTCAAAAACTAGATAGAAATCACTTTTTATTAAAACACAAACACAGCAAAAATATATATGCTGAAAATTAGCAGTTATCTTTGGTAAGGATATAAGAGAATATTTGCTTGTTTAACTTTATAAAAAATTAACCACATTATCGAGGTACAATTCACAAACTAAGACCTTCCTGTTTTAGTGGGAGGTCTAGTGGGAGGTCACAAACTAAGACCTTCCTGTTGTAAGTGGGAACTTCCGTGGTGTTAGCTGCCTTGCAGCCCTCGCATGGACCCGCCCACCTGCAGTCCCAGGCCACTCCCACCCCAGCCCCTGGCCACCACTGATCTGCTTTGGATCCTCACAGATTGGCCTTTTCTGGACATTTCATATCAATGGCATCAGACACATGTGGTCTTCTGCATCTGGCTTTAACCTAGCATAATGTTTTGAAGCTTTATGCTGTAGCTAGTATCAAGAGTTTGTTCCTTTTTATTGCTAAAAGCATTTCACTGTCTGGATACACCCTATTTTGTTTCTCCATTCACCAATAATAGATAATTGGATCATTTCCATTTCAGGGCTGTTCCCAGTAATGCTGTTAAGAACGTTTGCATACAAGTCTTTGTGTAGACATGTGTGTTCACTTCTGTTGGGTAGGTACTTAGGAGTGGAATTGCTGGGTCATATGATAAAAGTTGTGTATGACTTTTTAAGCAATTACTACCCTGTTGTTGGCAGAGGCGAGAACAGCACCAGATGTTAGACTGGTGGGGTCAGCAACCTCAGTACCTGAGGTCTGGCTAGGAAAGAATTCAGAACCAAGGCTCAAACCTTAAGAGACTGTTTATTTAGAAAGTCACAGAGGTAGAAGTGAGCTGTGCAAGGAACAGGCTCAGGAAACAAGACACAGAAGCAGAAGAAGGGGCCTTGGAGCTTAGGGGAGAGAAAGGTAAGGGGGGGGAGGGGAATGTCACGGGTGTGCTCCTGGGAGGAGAGAGTGCTTGGCCCTCAGTCCTACGAGGTTTTTTTTTTTTTTAAGATTTTATTTATTTATTTTGAGAGCAAGCGGAAGTGGGGGGAGAAAGAGAGGGAGAGAAGCATCAATGTGTGGTTGCCTCTCACACACCCTCAACTGGGGACCTGGCCTGCAACCCAGGCAGTTTCCCTGACTGGAATGGAACCGGCAGCCCCTTAGTTCGCAGGCCAGCACTCAGCCCACTGAACCACGCCAGCCAGGGCCAAGAGCTTTTAAGGGTGGAGATATTAGGGAAGGATCCAGGCAGGGATCTCAACAGACTATTCAGCTTTACAGTTGTGTCCTTTCAGGGGAGTGGTCTCTTCTGATTGGTTGGTGCCAGGACAGAGGTTCCTGAGTCGTTGCAGCTGGTCCTAGCATCACCTGCCACGTTTTGCAGCTTTTCTGGGCCTGCAGCTGAAACACAGCTGAGGCCTAGATGTTATCTCCAGGAAGGAAAGGTCAGGGGTTCCAAGCTGCTGACCAGCCACATGATCGGGAACAAAGGTTACCCTGGGGGGCTTTCATCCCTGGTGACCTTCTGTACCTGGCCTCACTTCCTTACTCTGCTCGTGCCTCATCGCCCACTACACTGTGGGTATTTGCATTCCCATCAGCAACATATGAAGGAGGGAGTACCAGTTTCTCCACTGACGCGTGCCCACCTGCCTGCAGTGAGCATGGAATGCTGTGGATGGTTTGTCAACACACGAGAAAAACATACACAGAGACAACCAGGTCCTGTGGGAGAATCGGGACAGCAGGGCCACTCCTCACGTGGGGAGTGCCTTGGCCACCCTCTCTCCTGGAGGGTGCCATGGCCACTCCCTCTCATGGGGAGCACCTGGTCCCCCTGCACAAGCAGGGTTTTATTCTTGAATACCAATACAGTTTGCAAATTACAAGTAGTTAGTTTTTGAAAGGTGCTGGCAGATTTCCTACTGGTATCCTAAACCAGAGATTTTGGGGTTTTATCATTTAAAAAGACTACAGGACTTAAAGCTTAGTTCTGTTTCCTGCCTGTGACTTCATATTCCAATTAAAGAGCATCCTCCAGCAAGCAGATCTTACAGGATCTTGCATATTCTATGTCCCAGGCCTGATTACCCCAGGGGGTCCGCCATTTCTGGTCTGGGCTGTTTTGCCCCTGCAGGTCTCAGAAGACAAAGGCAGCCAGCAGACTTGGATTTCTCACATCCAAGAGCAAAGACTCAGGCTTTGACAAAGCCAAAGGGGGCAGGGGTTGATGTCTGATCACCCCTTCATTTCCACAGCCCCGTGAGTCTTGTCCCTGTCATTCCTTCGTGAACGCGTCTGTCTTAGATTCATTCTCTATCCAAGAGAATTGCTACCTGTCATTGACTGCCAATCATGCCAAGGAAATAAGTTTTGCCTCCTTCAGTGGCTCCTGGTCCGGAGGTCTTTCACTCAGCCTAAGTCACGGGGGGTTACAGCTTCCTGAGACCAGGCAGGGCGGTCCCCAACACTCCACGTCCCCATCGGCACTCGTTGCTGTCTGCCCTGGCACAGCTGCTCCAGTGGTGGGGACGTCACTGTGTCCCGGGCCCTTGGGTGTGCCTTCTGCCTGTGGAGGGGCCTCACGTTCAGCCGGGTCCTCCCCGAATGTGGCCTCTGCCTTGCTCCTGCGTGCGGCCTCCCGAACCACCAGGGCTCTGTGGCCAGGTGCACTTCGTCTGACTCGGTCCCCGGGTCTGTCACCCTGTTACATTTTCGGCTGCTCTGCCATCCATTGCTGGTCCCAGCTGGAACCGCAGCCTTAGGCCAGTTGCAGGGACCCTTCCCAGTTGTTTGGCACTGAGATCGCCCGTGTTCCTGACAAGCCCGGGGAGTGGAGTCGCCTGCTCTACACTGCAGAGGAGGCCGTCCTGCCCGCTGGCCCAGCTGGGAGCTGGGGGGCGGGGGGCGGGGGGGGGAGTGACCCCAGGCCACTACATGGCTCTTACCCCCAGGGCCAGTGAGTTTTCTTGAGTAAATGCTTCTCGATTTGTTGTGTGCCTTTGCTCAATTTCTAGGAATTTTGTCCACTTTATCCCTTTTAGGGGAAAGGATTTGCTCCTCTTTCTGTCATTGGCCATTTCAGGAATAAATAGGAGATGGATGGATGGATAGATATTTTTATTGATTTTTTTATAAATTCCTCTACAAATGTTAGCCTTCTTAAAGCTTTACTCTTTCCACCTGTAAGGTCTTTATCTGCTTCTGTTAAAATCCTATTCGTCTCCGTGTTCTCACACTCTGAAACTTACAGAACTCTCTCTG